TGTGCTAAAAGGTAGAATTTTTGAGAAGTGTATAGTATCGAGAATAAAACTATGAACTTTCTCATTTTTTAAAGAATTTCTATTTGATATGCAGAAGTCTTCCACAGACAGGGGATGCTTCAGACATTTTTGACATTGTGTTTTAAAAACTGAGTGGTTGGTGTTTTTCTTTTCTTACTTTTAGAGAGTTTCTGAAACAGAAAGGTGCATTATTTAGTTCAGATGATTCCAATGAGCCAAAAGGTGCTATAATCCTACATCCCTTAATACTGAAAAGACAGGAGGCATCAAAGCCATCTTTATACTCTATGGACCAAAGTTCTTCCTTCATCATTTTCCTAAATTTAAGATTAGAAATAAATACTAAATGTAATCTTTATACCTTAGAGTATCATATTGGTATGACAAATAGATATTTTACCTAGCTCCATATTTCAGTATGTCAGACATACACTCAGATCTCCTTACTCTTTTCCAGGAAATAATAATAAAAATAAGTTCATTTGGGGGTACACAGGGACAAATATCTAAAGGAATGAAAAATAAATTATTTTATACAAGACTATTAATTCAGTCAGTTTAGCCGTCAATAGCAATATCATGACATTTTTCTGAACCTAAACAAAATGAACTCATAGTTATTGAAAATTTTAAAATTGGTAAACCCTTATGTTAATGATGAGGCTATTGTTAGTGGAAAATATACCTAAATGAGATATAAATATACGTGAGCATAATCATATAGGATAACTATAACACCTCATATAAAATCACAGATTTGTACACTCACAAAGAAACTCAGCTTTTAAAAAGACATATGCAAAAGGTAAAGTAAACATTAACTAATACTCCTCAACCTATTTAGACAGAAATTGTTGTTTTCAAAATACTAATTGCTAGTACGTACTGGGTCAGCTAAGCTTAATCATTACCTGGTTATTGTTTCACCCTTTCTACTTATTCCTGTGCTATAAGAACCAGCATAATAAGTTAATACATACTCAGCTTTAAATGAGGCGGTGTGCAATAACAGAAAACGCCCTGGGCTCAAGATCAGGTCATCGACGTTTTATTCCTGGCTCTGCCCCTAACTCTGTGTTAACCCTGATAATTAAGTTAATTTTCTCATCTGTAAAACAATGGGTCTGCACTAAACTGCTACCAAGACCCTTCTGTCTCTGATTTGATGACTATGGTCATGATGGCAGGGTCTGAACAAAGCTCCCAGGAAGGCTCTCTGTCCTTCCATGTCAATGAAAGTATGTGACAGGGTCCAGTGTCCTCTCTTCCCTCCTCTAATGGTGATGTAAACCAGCCAATAAGAAAAGTTCCATTGTATTCCATAATCAGCACCATGCAAAAATGCCTACAAATTGACAAAAAGTATGGGTACTTGACTTGGCTCTCCCCACAGCAGGTGGGAATCCTAGGTCCCTTAAACACAGTTCAAATGTATGCTACCCTAGCAGAACAAACTAGAATAGTATCTTCCAGCAAGTTCAGTGGAAACAAGCTGGCAGAGAGGGCCCAGAAGAATCTTTTTTTTTCTTTTTTTGGGGGGGGAAGGGAAGTGGGAAGAAGAAGGGGAAAGGGTTAAGGGAAAGGCATGGGCATGCTCCCAGAAGAATCTTTGTATGTAAAATAAATAGCAATGCAAAAATAATAACAACAATAAAGTGATATGTAATGGAAAATATTTTTTAAAAATCATTGTTCACATTGCTTTTGCTTTTTTTGCTTTGAGATCCTATCTCTTCCCTTTTAATATCTTTTATTTGAGAAGTTGGAACAAATTATTTAGCATTCTTTAATCAGTGGGTGAAAGTGGACAATGTTAGTTGGTGCAGAGTGACTGCAATGGCAATACTTTTATGTGTTTTTAGTTCCTACCCAGATGGAGAGGTTGAGTTTTTAATTCTTCCCGGAATTTGTAATTAAAATGAAAGAAATATCCAAAACACATTGGTTCCTTTCTGACAGCCTCCATTCAATAGAAACCATCACAGAGTTCACCTATATTTTTACTAATTTGGTCTTGATCCAAAGGGCTGTAGTTGGGTACAACTCTTTTATGCCAGTGTTCATGATTTTTTTAATAAAAAAGGCAATAGTTTCAATTTGCTTCTTGATTTTTTTCTTCCCGCCACAGTAAGTACAATGAAATTAGATAAAACTAAGTATTTTTTTTAATTCTGTCTCACTGTATCTATACAGAAAATCCTTCATCTAATGGATATGACCGGCCTGATTATTGTGGGTGCTGCTCACTGTATATGGCAAGCATTGGAGAGGACCCAAACACAAGATTCAGTAAAGCAAGTGCCAGTCAAACCAATTCAATCTTGAGAAAGAATATTCAGCATTCAGATATGGAGACAGCTGCTGAAACCACAGTTAAGAAAGTAATGATTGGAGGAAGCATTAGAGATCTTGCTTCCTGGCAATTGTCATCAGTTTGGCTAAAATAAACTCTTATATAGAATTTTTTTTAAAAAAAGAAAGTACTGTTTTAACAGATCTTGAGTTCATTACCCATTACTCTTTCTCAAGGCAATATAACACATGGGTACTGCTAAACTGGAAATCAGCGCTGCTATGCAGCATTTCATTTATTTTACATATTCCCAAAAGGAAGGGATGTAACATTTATTGAGTGCCTACTATGGGCCAAGGATGTGCTTGCCTTTTAACTAGTTGACACTCAATAAATATTTGCTATCTGGATAAAAATATAAATATATAGTTTCTCTCTCATCATCTTCTCTGAACCAGAATATCAAAAAATCATAAAGCCTACAATACAGTGTTATAGTTTTGATTTCTGTTATCCCCCCATTTTACTAGTATATCAGCTGATTTTTCTATAGAGGATGAAAAAGATATAAAGATAAAGCTATATTTAGTGTACGATTATTGTTTGACTTTTCTGGAAATCTAATGATAACTGTTCTTCATATATATCAATTACTGGCTTTTTTTTCAGTTTAATGAAGATTACTAGAGATCACAAGAATTTTAACAATTTTAGAACCCATGGTTATGTTACCCGTACATACTCTAATGACTCCATTGACATCATTAAGAATGGTGGGGGGGCGGGAATACAACAGGAACAAAATATGCCAGAATGTTCTGTTGATCACCTCTGAGTTGTGGAATGAAGAGTGATTTTTCCTTTCTTTTAATCTTTTCTATATTTTCAAAATTTTCTACAATAAACATGTATTATTTGAATGATCAAAAAGGTTGTCTTTAAAGATAATGTAGAATAGCACCTCATTAAATACGAAGAAACAAAACAAATACTGCTGTGAGTATCTTATTCTCTAGAATGGGACTGTTCACTTTATGCCTCCAATTCAGCTTTCTAGGTCTGGGTGGGTGTGGGAATGAGGAGTAGAGTCAGGCAGTTAATAATCCCTTACGCTACCAAATGAAAAAGGCAGAGCCTAAGGCAACTGAACCCTGCTCTTCTGCGCAGGCAGGTTTATTTTATACTTTCCTGGAGGAAGAGCAGCTAGATCTTTAATAGAATCACAAGGATGCTATGGAGAGAAAATCTGGAAAAAAGGAACCTCTGCATCTCTTGTCAGAGTCTAAGTCTTCCCTACATCTAACTTCTGAAAGTGGATCGAAGAATTTTTTTGTTTAAGTTTCCAAGTAACAAAAGACTGCATGTAAAAGTAAAATTGGCTCTGTTTAGTAATAGAAGAACAGAAATAGACTGTGAGGGTGTGATTATGATTATCGCATTTTAATATCATGAGCATATTAGGCAAATGTATGAAAAGTATTTTAATACACCCACTATTACTGAACGTTAAGCGGGCACTTGAATCAGCCTAAATCTCTTTAGGAATTGAGGGCTATAGAGCTTCATATGCTTTTGAAGTTGTATTTTCCCCACATGAGCAATAATGACATTCAGAGACTTTAAATGAGCTTTTATCCCAAACTAAGCAGATCAAAATGACACTATTTCTATATGTGTTTTTCCTACCTGCAGGAAAAAGGCATGATGGTTATTTATAAGACTCTGTTAGCAGTACCATGAGAAAGAATCTGACGTACAATGTCATTGGGATACACCATTCATTCTAGTGACTCCTTGGTTTCTCAGGTATGTACAGTGCTGTAAGTGCTACCGTAAGCCTATTGCAACTGATGACTTTTCTTGGTCTTTGAAAATCATATGGGTTAGGAACAGGGAGAATAATGGGAAAGTGATTAGCATATTCAGGATGACACAGACCACATTATAACATTACGTAACAGAAGAGAATGGGCCTGATATTGGGCACCTAGGTCCTGGTCCCAGCGCTGCCTCTGGTGGCTGGGGTAAGTATAGCATGTCTCCTGACCTCAGGGCCTGGGTGCTCTCATCCGCAAAATGAGGGTGGTGTAGTTAGTTGGTCACTGAGTCTCTCCTTCTAACTCTAAAATTCTAATTTCTCTCCTTGTAATGGCTGGTTAAAACAAAGGTACAGATTGTTCATGTTCTCTTTGAAGAATTTAAGTTCCATGAAAAACTCCAACTTCTTCCTAAATCAAAAGTGTACTTAAAACACGGCATGGAAGACGAAAACTTCCATGTATTTCACTTTTCAAGGACTGAGGAATGACTGGAGTCTCATCCAAAAAGATTTCTCAATTAGAAAACTGACATAGCTTAGCCAAACTATAAAATGATTAATTGTTGTGATTATGAAGAAAAAAAAAAGAATGAGGTTTAAAGAAAAGAAAGGAAATTGGTATATTTACTTCTTCCTAATCTCAATTCTAGAGATAACTCAAATATTTTTAAGGGATAACTCAAATATTTTTTCCAATGTGATATACTAGAGTCCTTAATTCTGCAGTAAGATGAGCTATACATTTTACAGGCTAAAGAGATATTCTTATGGGTCTCCTTTCAAATCTATTAAGTTGTTCTATTGGCTCCATATGATGAATACCAATGAATTCAGTGTGTTGGGAATTGAAACTGAAATCACACAAACCCTTGGGTCCTTCATCCTTGGAGGGATGAAGGTTCCTAACTGGATCCCGGATACTGCAGTCTGTTCCCGCCCAGGTGAAGTCACAGATGCAGGTGGCTTCATTACTACACACCTGTGAAGAACAAAGAACAGAGATGGATCATTTTCACTGCCCGTTGCAGAATATACTGGTGATAAATGTAAAAGAGACATAGGCCAGGCAGACACTTTAAAAGCCATTTAGAATTTTTTTAAAAGCCTCCCACAGTTTTAGGTATTAGATAAAGGGAAATCATGCATGGGTCAAATAGTTGAATGGTAGTTTGTCAGTTAATTACCAAAAAAAAAAAAAAAGAAAAGTAAAATAATTGTAATTAAATGTTAATTATTCATGTTGATATTGTTAAGTACACAAACGTCTAACAATGTAGCTTATTTCATAAGTAGTTGTTTCTAGAACCATATTTTAGAAACATGTATGCTTAACTCAAGGAATTAACAGATACTGGGCTCAAGAGACACAGCCAGAGATAAAAACCATGAGACATAAATCACCAGTGCATTGCTGGACCTCACCACGTTCAACACCAAATTCATTTGGTGGCACTTTCCCAGACAAATCAGCACCCCTCCCACCTTCCCTGCCTGCCCACCATTTTCTCTCTGTCGGCCAGGCTAAGACCCTCTGAAAGTGATAGTCTCCTCTCTCATCCTCTGCGGACCAAGCAGCATGCTGGAAGGGACTTGTCATTTAGATGAAATAAATAACCATCTGCAAACTAGAGGCAGAGTAGTTTAAGCCCTTATCTGCCTGTGAAATACAGAGACCGATTATTAGAGGCGATCAAATCAAACTTAAGCCTATTAGTGTAAGAAGCTTTTTAATCTTCTGAAATGTTATAACACTGTGATTATGATGAACAAGATTGGATTTGACCTTTTTTTTTTTTTAACAAGATGAAAAAGTGGGAAGGAGAGTAGAGAGTCAAGGGCCCTTTTAATGCATTAAGTTTCATAATGCTTACAAAGCAATAACTGAATAATGAAAGGTTCTGTGCAGTGCTTTTACTCTCCTACAACGATTACTGAGCATTTACTAGGTGCTAGGTTCCTAAGCTGAGTGTTTTATGTATAGCATCTCATTTATATTCACACTAGCACCCTGACAAATGAGAGAGGTTAAGTGACTTGCCCAAAGTCACTGGGAGGGTAAGAAGCAGAGCCAGGATTCAAACCCAGGATTCCTTCTCGCCTCCAAATCCATGCTCTTGATCACTAGGCTATACAGCCTCCTTTGTGAGCCTACGGTTCAAGCAAACTGAAACGATACATAATTGTCGGGCATATGCTTCGTAGGTCTTTCTATCGTGTTTGATTCTACATCACCTGCTTGGCTCCTATATTTTGGATTCTTTTTACCTTCACTCCAGCATCTTCCTTTTATATTATTTTTCTCAGTTCCTTCATGTTTCTTTTATCCATTTCCGAGGTCTGCATAAATTTTGAAATACTTTTCTTTTACGAAGCCAAATTTAAATAATTATTAAGATTCGTTTTAGATATTCAGCTTAGGTTTGCCAGGTGTGTCTGCCCAAACACTTTGTCCACAGAATTAAAGATATATGCAGGCAGAGGGAGCATCTGCTCTCTGACTGGCAACGATGCAAACATAACCACAGAACTGTAAACCTGTGGATTATATCAGTGAATCAGTGACCCAACCTTTAGTCTGGTATGACCTGGCATACATAGATAGCCAGCATGCATGCAGAGTAGCTGGAAGGGACTTACTGAAAGGGTTTAACTTATTTCAAATGGTAATCACAAAGTAATCACATTGGGTCTTTACAGAAAATCTTATCCATTTTCATCTGGCTCCTTAGCCGTTAAACTATATCTAGAGAATGTGGTGAATAAAAATAGCCAGTGATAAAAGAAACAATAAAATACACTATATCAATGCATACGGGTGTTACTGTTAGCAGACAAGTGAACTAAGAAAAGAATCATAGCCCAGCTGGTGTGGCTCAGTGGGTGAGCACTGACCCATGAACCAGGAGGTCACAGTTCGATTCCCAGTCAGGCTCGTTCCACAGTAGGGGACATGCCGGTGGTAGCCGACTGATGAAGTTTCTCTCTCATTGATGTTTCTATCTTTCTATCCCACTTCCCTCCTCTCCCTGAAATTAATAAAAAAAAAAACTAAGTTTTTTTCAAAAAAAGAAAAAGAATTATAGTCAATGCATAGATATTGGCAACAGCCTCAGAGGGAGAGTGGCTGCACTGGAAACATAACCACTGTGAACTTTAAGGATGCCAGATCATGAAAGTTTGAGCTGGAACACTGATGCCAACTTACCCCATGGCCTGAGCAGACTTTACCCTTGGAATCGAGTGGGCAGCTGCTCATATTCAGGGCCTGAATCTGTAGGCACTTCCGATCTAAGCACATCATGGATGGGCCACATGGAGTTCCATCTTCCACGTAGCCCACATCTGTATCATCATCTAAAACCACATGAGCACCACTAGGAGGAGAAAGATATTCATACCGTCATTAGCACCACACAAGGTTACTGCTCTTGATGACGTTGAAGGGGCTGTGATTGGACCTGGATTTCTCCTAGCATGTCCCCCCTTTCGCTTTCCTGCTTTCCCCACCTCTCCTTAATAAAAGAGCATGATAAAGAAAGCTACCTTTCCTTATCACTATTATACCACACGTCACAGGGAAAAATATGTCAAGTGTATTCGAAACCTTCACTTGTTTTCAAGACCAACATTGAGACAAGGAGAGTGAATAAGAGAGGTAATCTTATCACTAGGTCTCCAAGGCTTTCAGATGCGTCACAGTACAAAAAGGCAGAAGTTGAGCAAAAAAATAGCAAAATGAAAAACATTTTGGAAATTATTATTACTTTAGAGGATTGGGTTGTTCATGATTGAAAAAGTAAACTGGTTCCTCTCCACTGATATTGACTCATAAAATTTTAAAGTTAGAAACAAGTTGAATTTGAAGAATAGTCAATACTATAATTACTAACAGAGTACCTTGCTGAAATGTTTACAAATATACCAACTTAGAATATAATAATATAATGTAACAAGGCTGTTATCTCTAGAGACGTGAAAATTCACAGATTCAAAGGACGCTTGTGTGCATCAAACTATATTTGAAGACAACAAACTTATGCCAGGAAGGATCTTGCTGTCTAAGATCCTGTTAGAATTGCCTTCCGAGCCATTTAAAAGACAGAAAAACAGCCATCATTTGATAAAGACAGCATCATGCAATTTGGTTACCCATCTATTTATTAAATTTTGTTCAAAAAAATTTGGGGGTGTTTCCTGATCTTATATTCACTCACATAAGATGAAGGTTTGCCCCTCTGGCGATACCAAGGATAAAAGTTTGCAGATGCTGAAGGCAATTCTGTAGGGGGATCCCAAAAGTGTTTTAAGCAACTTTTTCAGTACCATTTGAATGAGAGCACAGCAACTTAGAATTATGACTACTTTGAAGGGACAAGGATTATTTGGAATATAATATGACTCCCTGGCTTTAAAAATAATTCTCATATTTTCTGTGTCTTGTGCTCATAGGTAATTGGATATAAAACATTTGTCTCTAGCTATAAATAATATCTTAATAAATATTTTCTATAAGTGATTAAGTACTTATTAAACCATCTTCTAAATCAGACACATCTGAATGAAGTAAAGCTTAAACTTTTTTTGGTCATAAAAAATAAAACACACATAGTGTTTCAAATAGTGACATATTCCAATGCTTAAATGCTTAAAGCTTTAATCATGGGTCAAAATAGGTAACATAATTCTACTCTTCAGATTATAATTACAAAGAATGTCTCCTACTAATAACTGGTACAATTTTTGAACAAATGCAATTTGCAAATCTAGATACAACTTTTTTTTTAAATGACTCTTAACATGAAAGGTGATAATAAAAATCTCAATCAACATTCCTCTTGTAAGAAATGGAAAAATTTCACTTGATTTTTCTAAATTTGTAATTCTCAGGTTTCTTTAGGTTTTTCCAATATTTAATATGTTACCTGCAGTCAATCACCCGGCCTTGATGATAAAAGGAAGTTGGGATGATCTCTCCCTGAAGTTGACCAATACGTGGAGCTCGGGTAAGGTTGGTACAGAGTAAAAATCCACAGAACACATCACTAAACAGGTTAAAAAATTTTTAAAAAGACAGAATAAGACAAGAGGAATAATGCTCAAAATAATCAAAACTACTCAGTTCATATATATATATATATATATATTTGAAATATGAAAATATTATCTTTCTTTCTAAATAAAAACACTCAATCAGATATTGTTGGTTGCCTATGATGCCCCTCCTTTTTAACTAGCAGATCACAAATTTGTTTGGGGAAAGCAAAGTGCTCAGCCCTGAAAGAAGTCATGACTGGCATCTGTGCTAGCCACGCACTTCCACTTCCTGTACCTCTTTCCTAGCCATCCTCCATCTTTTCCTCCCAGAGCTAAAAGTGGCCCCTGGGTGTCGAGAAGTGAGAAAAAGCTGGCTAGGAAGCTGCTGAGAAAATCTGCTTTCTGGATACAAGGTTATTACCTGACAGGAGGATCCTTGTTCCTACCCCTGCTTCCTGCCTTTGAATGCAGAGCCTTTACATCTAACTTGCAGTTATTATGTTCACAAGCATAAGGATTTAAACACAACATGCAACGGATTACAGAGCAGAGGGGCAGAGTCATCTGGGTCCTTAGTGACATTATTAAGTGACTCACCCACCATGATGGCATCTACCTGTAGCCTATTTAAGTAAACAATACATTTCTTCTTTTTTCTTTTTAAAAAAAGGGGGGGACTAAGAAGCAGCATTACACACACACAAAAGAAGGAAAGTCCATTGTCTAAAACTTGCATGAAAATGTACTAAATTCTATCAGTAATCAGGGAAATGCAAATTAAAACCACAACCATATAGCAGTTCACACCCACCAGAATAGATAAAAGTAAAAGGCCTGTAACACCAAGCATTGGTGAGAATGTTGTTACAAATTCTCACTGCTGGTAGGGTTTTCTAGTACAACCACTGAAAAAGAAAATAGTGTGACACCACTTGGTGGCACTGAAAATATACATCCCATGATTTTATAGTTTTGTTCTAGGTACAGGACTTAGATCAATGTGTCCAAATGTGCACCAAGTTACCAGTAAAGAATGTTCCCAGCAGCATGGTTGCTAATAGCCAAAGCATGGAAACATCTAAATGTCCATCAATGTTGAATGTAGGAATAAACTGTGGTATATTACTATGAATATGAATGGAAGTCAAACAAATGGAACAAAAAATGAACTTAAGCCAAATACAAAATAACACAGAAATTATGATTCCGTTTCTATAAAATATATTTTACCAAATATCTTGGTAAAATATATTATTAAGGATGAAAAGTTAGGAAGTAAAACTCTAAAGAAAAGCAAAAAAGAAAGAGAGAGAGAGAGAGAGAGAGAGAGAGAGAGAGAGAGAGATACTGCCATAAAGTCAAAATGAAGGGAAGATCATTTTCTGGGATGCCTCAATGTTCTATATCTTGATCCAGGTAGAGGTTACATGGGAGGTCACTCCCTAATTGTTTGAATGCATATTTGTGTATTATTCACTTTCCTGTTTATCTGTTATATTTCACAACTGTTAAAAATTTCAGAAAACACTGCTTTTCTTTAACTCAGTGGTGGTTGGATACTCTGTTACCAGATATTCAAAAGCTGTATTTTACAATGATCTAATCCAATACCTCCAAAACTTTTTGAAGACACAGAGAAATGATCAGATCTGTCGAGGACATTGAGTTAATGAATGAACCTGATCTAATCTAGAGGTTTCCCATGCCTATAACCTAAAGGTCCCATAGATCCATGTCATTGAGTAAATCATTAAATCATAATATTAACTTTCTTCAACTAATCAAGGGGAAAATATCACTGATGGGCTCTGAAATTATCTCATTTCCTCATAAAGAAGCCTCCAGTATGCAGTGAATAGATGTTTTCCAGAAGGGAATAAAAATCTCTGATACAGT